ATCTGCCTCAGCCCCACAAAGTGTTGGGATTACAGGCGTGAGCCACCGCGCCCAGCCACCAGGCACTTCATATAGATATGTTCTCTAATTCCCACAACAAACCCAAGAGTCGGTATTATCCCCATTATACAGTTGGGGAAAGTGAGGGTCTTTGAAGTGCCTACACTGAGCTTCAGGGTAGTGTTGCTGCAAAGTACATACTTTCTACATTTGCTGCATCCCACTGCCTCTCTCATTTACTTTACTTTTTGGTTGGGGAGCACACTTTTTTTCTAAGTCTTTCTCCTGGATGAATAATCCAATGAATGTTCCTATTTGAAAGATGATAAACAGAGAAGCTACCTGATTGACCCAGAGTTATATAGCTAGTTTGAGGCAACGTCAAGTCAGTCTAGAATGTATCCTGAACCCCAGGCTAGTGCTTTCTCTATACACTGGGGTGTCAGATAATACACTCATTCCTTCTCCTGCCTTTAGAGCTGTATCTAGAATTACCTGGCTAAAAAGTTCAAGAGTGGCTGGGCACGCTGGCTTAAACCTGTAATCTCAGCACTTTGGTAGGCCAAGGTGGGAGGATTGCTTGAGGCCAGGGGTCCTAGACCAGCTTGAGCAACATAGTGAGACCTTATCTCTACAAAAAAAAGTTTTTTTAGTTAGTCAGGTGTGGTAGCACACATCTGTAGTCCTACCTATATATGAGACAGGCAAGAGGACCGCTTGGGCCCAGGACTTTGAGGCTGCAGGGAGCTAAGATTGTGCCATTGCACTCCAGCCTGGGCAACAGAGCAAGACCCTGTCTCAAAACAAAACCAAATTAAACAAAAAACAGCTCTATTTCATTCTTAATGTTATATTCTTTACACTCTGCCATTTGTAGTTATGCTGGGGGAATTTGTAAGAAAGTTGGCTTGTGGGTCTTCCAGTTAGTCCCTTTAGGTTGGATGCAGGTAAAAATATTTAAAGGTGGGGAGCAGAGTTTTTTGATTTATGATATTATTATTATGAAGGGCCCAGTAAATGTTAGAATAGTGCCTGGCACAGACAGTGCTTTATGTGTGTTGTCTCATTTAATTCTTAGGAAACTGAGACACTGAAAATTTAAGGAATTTTCCCAGATCACACAGCTAATTAGGGGTGGAGTTGGGATATGAACCCTAGCAGCCTGATCAGTCTGAGTACTTAGCAACCACACTGTTCTGTCTACTAAAAAAAAGTTGATGACCTGCTTATTCCAGGCCCAGGAACAAGTAGTAGGCCCTGGGAGATCCCGGGGACACCAGGAGCCAGAGTAGGCCTCACTGGAGAAGATGGCAGACTCTGGAAGTGAAGCTGAAGCAAGCCTAGCTGCTGACACTTTGAACTGTCCGGAACTGCCCTTGAGATAGCTTTGGGTGGTAGAATTGGGAGAGGCCAACCCATCACTTGCAGTGTTGAGATATGGCCACCAGGAGGCAGCAGAAAGTTGGGCGGGTAGCAGAAAAGGGCCTAGGGAGCCCACCTTTCATCCTGGCCTTTGTACTTCAGGGCTCACTCGCTTTGACCTGCTGGGTGACTTTGGACGCTTCAACTGGCTGGGCAATTTCTACATTGTGTTCCTCTACAACGCAGCCTTTGCAGGCCTCACCACACTCTGTCTGGTGAAGACCTTCACTGCAGCTGTGCGAGCAGAGCTGATCCGGGCCTTTGGTGAGAGGGAGAGAGGGTGCGGAGTAGTGGGGTGGTAGTTATCTAGGACACTCTGGATCATGGGTCATCTCAGCAGGGAAGAGGGTGTGCTTCCAGCTTTGTGGGTAACGTACCTCATCCACACATTCTGTGGCTTGGTTGTCTGGTCCCTAATGGACTGGACCTTTGACCTGCTTTTGACTGCCCATCTCCTTCTCTTCTCCAGGGCTGGACAGACTGCCGCTGCCTGTCTCCGGTTTCCCCCGGGCATCTAGGAAGACCCAGCACCAATGACCTCCAGCTGGGGGTGGGAGGGAGAAAACTGGACACTGCCATCTGTTGCCTAGGCCTGGAGGGAAGCCCAAGGGTAGCTGGACCTCAGGACCTGGAATCTGAGAGGGTGGGTGGCAGAGGGGAGCTGAGCCATCTGCACTGTTGCATAATCTGAGCCAGAGTTTAGGACCAGGACCCCCTGCTTTTCCATACTTAACTGTGGCCTCAGCATGGGGTAGGGCTGGGTGACTGGGTCTGGCCCTGGTCCCAAATCCGTTTACACATCAATCTGCCTCACTGCTGTTCTGGGCTGTGCCCATAGCCATGTTTACATGATCTGATGTGCAATAGGGTGGGAGGGGGCAGGGGAAGGACTGGGCCAGTGCAGGCTTGTGGGGGGTAGATTGTCTCCCTTGCCTCTGGCCCAGCAGAGCCTAAGCACTGTGCTATCCTGGAGGGGCTTTGGACCACCAGAAAGACCAAGGGCATAGGGAGGAGGAGGCTTTACCCATCAGCAATAAAGTTGATCGCAGGGTTTGCTTTGTTTTTTTAAAGAACCTGCTTCTGTGTGTATTTGAACAGGCTTGCTCCTGCTAGTCCTGAGTCTGCCCAGTAAGAAAAGCAGAGGGGTCCTGCCCACCATCCTTTTCCTACCCCTTCATCTATATTATTAGCATCCTCTGGGGACTTGGATCAGGTGTTAGGCTGTGCATTTGGGCAGTGGAAACTCCTTCTTCCTCAGCCTTGCTTAAAGCTTGCTTGTCCCCTGGTTCCTCCTCATATCCATGGCCTTGTTTCTGTACCTTGAGTATTGAGGGTAGGACATGGGCATAGGAGTTGGATAACCTCCCCCTGTACACTCACACCTTCAGCCCTGTTCTCCCTGGCTTAACTGGTAGATATAGAGTAAAATAAGGGGCTGGCTGACAAGGATTTTCAATTCCTACCTGAGAGAAGAACCTAGCTTTTTACTAGAGGCCATCAGTTTCTTGAAGAGTCCATGTGCTATTTTGGGGGTAGGGGCTCAAAACTTAGGTTTATACAGATTGTGCATTGCACAACTTCCAGGGACACCATTTGCCTCTTAGTCATTGTATGGATAGTTACTATGATAGTTTTCTTGTAAATCTTGACTGACTGAAAAAAAAGGTGGGGGGGGGTGCTTTTCTTTTCTTTCGAGACAAGGTCTGGCTCTATCACCCAGACTGGAGAGCCGTGGTGTGATCTCAGCTCACTGAGACCTCCGAAATCTGGGCTCAACCCATTCTTCCACCTCAGGCTCCAGAATAGCTAGGACTACAGACGCATGCCACCATGCCTGGCTAATTTTTGTATTTTTAGTAGAGATGGGGTTTTGCCATGTTGCCTAGGTTGGTCCTGAGCTCAAGTGATCCGCCTGCCTTGGCCTCCCAAAGTGATGGGATTACAGGGCGTGGCATCATGAGCCATGGCACCCAGCCATCTTTTTTTGGAGGGGGGGTCTCACTATCACTCAGGCAAGAGTGCAGTAGCATGATCTTAGCTCACTGCAACCTTGAACTCTTGTACCCAAGTGATCCTCATGCCTCAGCCTCCTGAGTACCTAAGACTACAGGCATGTACCACCACCCCCTACTAATTAAAAAAAAATTTTTTTTTGAAACGGGGTCCTACTACGTTGACCAGGTTGGTCTGGAACTTATGGCCTCAAGCAATTTTTGCTTCAGCCTCCCAAAGTTTTTGGATTACAGGAGTGAGCCACTGTTCCTGGCCTGGTTTTTTCTAATGTACACAAAGTTGCTATAAGTGCTAGCCATAGAACTTGGTGAGGGGAGGGTGAATATGAAAGAAAAAGTGCAGATTCCACAAATACTTACAGAGTACCCTTCTGTAGAGTAGTCACTTAGTCTACTCTACAATATGTGCATGTTTAAGACTGCTTCATCTAGTAAGGTGCCAGATAAGTCTAATACTGTTCTACTACTGCTGTTAAGTACTGGTTCCCGAGGGAACACAGGTGGGCAGTGTTGGGACAGAAGTCTTCTTAGAATAAATTATTTCTTTTTTTTTTTTGAGATGGAGTCTTGCTCTGTAGCAAGCATGTGCCACCATGCGCAGCTAATTTTTGTATTCTTAGTGGAGAAGGGGTTTTACCATGTTGGCCAGGACGGTCTCAATCTCTTGACCTCATGATCTGCCCACCTCAGTCTCCCAAAGTGCTGGGATTACAGATGTGAGCCACTGCACCAGGCCAGAAGAAATGATTTCTAAACAATAGAAATTGGATGTGGTGCCTCTGAGAGCTGAGTGGCTGAAAATAGAGTCCTGGGAGTCGAGAGAGGGAGAAAGCTGGAGAGGGGCCTAGATGGAAGGTTAAGGGAAATGAGCCTCACCTCTTGTGAAGACTTTGAGTGTCCACTGCCCTTCAGCAGCTTCCAGCTGACAAGTTATTCATTTGAAAAGAAGCAGCTATTAGATGGCTGGCAAAGAAGAGAAGGGGAAAAAAGTTGGAAGTCCTAAACCAGACTCTTAAGTACCAAGCTCTGTCCCTGGTTCTGGGGGAGTTCCAATGGAGACTGTAAAGTTAGTTGAGTTCTAGAGACTGTAGAGTTGTAACCGTAAAGTTAATGGGCCCTTGGTATCCTCACCTCCCAGTCCTGGTTACTGCTGAGTGTGAGGAGAGATGGAAATGGGGGAGGTCTGGGAAGGACCACAGAGAAGGGAGGCTCTGGTATATATGCCCAAAGGGCTTGGCTGATCTTGAGCAGAAATTGGAACCCATGCTTCCTGGATGACAGGAGAGGGCATGGCCTGCCAGGGTAGGCTTTGAGAGAGCAAAAATTCCAATTCAAGTATCAGAGGAGGGTGGTTTGATTCCAAGTTTAGGCTTGGAGGTAGAAGGATGTTTATCTAGGTAACCAAGGACTATAAAGCTACAAGGATTTCCTAGGCAGGTGTCTGCCTGGTTTCTAGGATGGGACACACTTCAGCGCAAAATGGACCAGCAGTGACCGGTTAGGTCCCCCGCCCGGGTGGGAGGGGGTGGGACGGTCTTGGGAGAAGGGCGGGGGGCGGGGCCAGGGGCCACTTAAGGCGGAGTCCGGAGTCCCGGCGTTCTGGCAGCACCAGAGTCCTGCAGCAGAGACGGGCTGGGCTGGCACTCACCCACGACCCCCCTTCCCTCCTATGATGGTCCGTCAGTAGCAGGTCCTAGACCCCCCGGGGGCACGTGGGCAGAGCTGGCAGCAGGCAGGTGCGCGGAACCACAAGAGCTCTAGGGCACTCTGGGGGCAGCTCTGCCTGCTGCCCTCTCTGGTGCCTGTGGAGATGCCTAACTGACAGGAGAGTTAGTGAGGACAAGAACGCTCCCTTTTGGCCCAGGTCTGTTGTATCCATGGCTCTGCTGGCCAACCTGCTGCTCCTGTGCTGCTTGGCACTTCTGGCGCTGCCAGCCCAGAGCTGCGGGCCGGGCCGGGGGCCGGTTGGCCGGCGCCGCTATGTGCGCAAGCAGCTCGTGCCGCTACTCTACAAGCAATTTGTGCCTGGCGTGCCCGAGCGGACCCTGGGCGCCAGCGGGCCAGCCGAGGGAAGGGTGGCAAGGGGCTCCGAGCGCTTCCGAGACCTCGTGCCCAACTACAATCCCGACATCATCTTCAAGGATGAGGAGAACAGTGGCGCAGACCGTCTGATGACTGAGGTAAGGAGGGCCTCTCCCCACCTGCGCCAGGGCCCTGCCAGCTCCTCCGTTTTCTTATGGCAGCCCAGGACGGTGAGTCTAGTTTCACCTACAGAGACTTTAGCATTAAAGATCTCCCTTATCACTACCCCCCTACCCCAGAAAAAAAAAAAAAGAAAAATAAAATCCTTGTCGGCTGGACAGAGTGGTTAGGAGGGATCCCGACGGGAAGAGTCTGGGATGGGGAGGGGAGGGGGACTGACTAGTGAGAGTGAAGCTGGGAGAGGCAGCGAGGGCGGGGAAAGGAGGATGGCGGCAGGCGAGACGGGAAATGGCTGAGGCGTGGACCCGGGGTCAGCCACCCAGCCAGGCAGGAAGGGCTGGGGTGAGCTGGGGGCCAGGAGCTGGCAAGGCAGCAGACAGAAGGTTTTACCCTTAGCCTGGCTCCTGACCTGATTGTAGAAAAGTTCTGTGAGCAGAAATTGCTTTTGGCATGGGAAACATGTCCTAGAACAAGGACACGTCTATTCTAGGGTCTATTTTAGGGCTATCCTAGGGTCTAAATGACAATCTTGGGGTAAAAAGTCATCCTCAATGAGAATAACAGATGGGCCCACCTGAGAATCAGAGGGCTCCTAAATCTTCAAACCTTCGCTTATCTCAGGAGCTTTCCTTGAAGTTATATAATTAAGGTAAATTCAACTACCATTTTTGAGCATTGAAACTAAACGAACCTAGAGTGGGGTGGGCAATGCCTTGGAAGAGAAGTATCGCCTCTGGCCAGTGATTTTTTTATTTTTTATTTTTTGTAGAGGTGGGGACTTGCTATGTTGCCTAGGCTAGTCTTGAACTTCTGAGCTCAAAGGATCCTCCCACCTTGGCCTCCCGAAGTGCTGGGATTACAGGTGTGAGCCACTGCATCCAGCCTGGCCAGTGATATTGAATGTTAGAATTGAAAGAAAACTTGGAGATCACATTCCTCTAACCCTTCCTATCCCCACTGCCACCCCCATTTTACATCTGAGAACTGGACTTTCACCAGGAGGAAAAGCAATTTAAAGTCTCACAACTAATTAGTGACATGGCTGGGACTAGAATTCAGGACTCCTGATTCTAAGCCCTATATGTTTTCCATTACACCACCTAATTGTGTATGGAGTGGGGAGGTGGGGGGAGAGGGAGGGGTACGGATTTCCTCTGATTAATTGCCATAGTTTTCAGGTTACTTTGTTAGGAAAACCTGTCCAGAGGAGAAAGAATTCCTTTTGCTTCTGCCCTGAAGGCTTCCTCCTACCCAGAGATTGGAAAGGGGACATTCCTTCTCTCCTCCTTGGCTATGGAACATTGTGGCCCTCTCCTCTGGCTGCCACCTGCAGCAGAGTGGGCAGAACAAGGGACAGGCTCAGGAGGAACTCCGACAGGCCTGGGAGCCCCCTCAGTCTTACTTATCTCCCACACCCTGGCTGCAAAAGGCCTCCATTGAGTTGGCTCTGCACTGGGCTGCTGCCCCCGCAGGTCAGGGCCTCGGGGCCTCCTCAGGGGACTAAACGACAAAGTTGGAAGGAGCTACCACTTTTCCTGTATTCCCCCCACCCCCTAACTCTGCGGAGGTGGAGCGACTAGAGAAGGAAAGGGGAAAAGTGTCTTTCTGTTAAGAGAAAACCAAGTCCGAGGTGAGAGATAAGAGGGGAAAGAAAAAAAGGAAGCTGTCCCTCTCTGCCTCCTCCCGCAGTGTCCCTGCTATGGTGCGCGCCAAGGTCTCCCGCTTCCAGACTGGAGCGGCCAAGATAACTGTGGTCTCACTCCCCCGGGTGCAAGCTTCCAGCCGCAGCTTCTTTTCCTCTTCTCCACTCTCACCCTGCAGGGGGCTCCCCAGATCCGCGCAAGGATCCAGTTATTCTCAGGTGCTACTCCCATGCCCTTCTGGGCAGCATCGGGAGCAGAGATGGAGAGATGGGGGCTCTCCGGACTGGCAGACTTAGTTGGAACTGGGAAAACTGGCCTCGCTGGGGGAGGGGACCTAGCCGGCCGGAGCAGGGATGGGGGGCGCGGCTTTCTGCCCTTTCCTCTCCCTGAGCCGGGGCGGCTGAAAAGCGCCTTTGTGGCCGGAGCTGCTGAGTCCGCTTCTCCCAGCGCGTCCCCGGCCTGGGCTCAGGATTCTCGCTCGGTTAAGTCATCCCGGAGAATGGCCATTGTACTTCGCGCAACCCCCGCCACCCCAGTCCTTTTTCCAGCAGCCTTGATCCCGCACAGCTCCCCTTGGGCACCTCTGTGGGGGGCACCCAGAGCACGAAGAGGTTAATGCTAGGGGCCGAAAGGAGGAGGAGGAAGGAAGGAAGGAAGGAAGCGATGCCCGGTGCCAGGGAAGGCAATGAAACAAAAGATGAATCAGGCGGAGGGAGGGGAGCCGGGGCCTGGGGCGGGGGCCAGGCTCAAACAGGGGCTCCTCGGGAGCAACCAAGCCCTCCCTGACCAGGCTTCCATTTGCCCTCCCAACTCTGGCCTTCTCCCAGGTTGAGCCACACTGTCCCAGAGCCAATAGGGATGAGGGACAGGCATTAAAAATGGGGAAAGAGCTAGGTATGGGCACCCCGTCTCAACCTCAGAGGTGACCCCACAGTTCTCCAACGACGCCCTGGGAACGGAATGCAGATTGGCGACTACCATCTACTCAGACTCTCATTTCTCTAGCACACTCAAAAGCTGGGAGGGGGAGGAGTGGGTCTAGAATAACAAAGAATCAACCCTGCTATCTAGATCCCTTTTCCCCGGAGAGTGGTGGTAGTGGTGGTGGGGAGACTGACTCCTTTATTCCCCGCCAGCGTTGTAAGGAGAGAGTAAACGCGTTGGCCATTGCCGTGATGAACATGTGGCCCGGAGTGCGCCTACGAGTGACCGAGGGCTGGGACGAGGACGGCCACCACGCTCAGGATTCACTCCACTACGAAGGCCGTGCTTTGGACATCACCACGTCTGACCGCGACCGCAACAAGTATGGGTTGCTGGCGCGCCTCGCAGTGGAAGCCGGGTTCGACTGGGTCTACTACGAGTCCCGCAACCACGTCCACGTGTCGGTCAAAGCTGGTACAGTAGGGGGAGGGTGGTAAAATCCGCCAAAAGGGGGCTCCCTCCAAGAAACTGAGTCTGCAGTAGTCCTGTTGCCACCCTAGGGGAGACCAAGTGGGCTTTAGTGTTGAAAACCACCTGTACAGGCCGGGGCGGGGCCTCATGCCTGTAATCCCAGCACTTTGGGAGGCCAAGGCTGGCGGATCACTTGAGGTCAGGAGTTCCAGACTAGCCTGGCCAACATGGTGAAATCCAATCTCTGCTATAAATACAAAAATTAGCCGGGCGTGGTGGCGCATGCCTATAATCCCAGCTACTCGGGAGGCTGAGGCACGAGAATCGCTTGAACCTGGGAGTTGGAGGTTGCAGTGATCCGAGATGGCGCCACTGAACTCCAGCCTGGGAGACAGAGCTAGATCTTCTCTCTAAATAAATAAATAAGAAAGAAAAGAAAAGAAAGAAAACCACCCTTCCTTTGGGGCCAGATTAGTGGGAAATTGTGTTGTCCAGCACTGGCGAGGTCTGCGCTGGCCTTGAGAATCGGTACCATCATTCTGGAACTGCTGGTCTTGATTCAACCCTTCCTGTGGTTGTTCCCTGCAGATAACTCACTGGCGGTCCGGGCGGGCGGCTGCTTTCCGGGAAATGCCACGGTGCGCCTGCGGAGCGGCGAGCGGAAGGGGCTGCGGGAACTGCATCGCGGAGACTGGGTTTTGGCGGCCGATGCGTCAGGCCGGGTGGTGCCCACGCCGGTGCTGCTCTTTCTGGACCGGGACTTGCAGCGCCGGGCTTCATTTGTGGCTGTGGAGACCGAGCGGCCCCCACGCAAACTGTTGCTCACGCCCTGGCACCTGGTGTTTGCCGCTCGAGGGCCGGCGCCCGCGCCGGGCGACTTTGCACCAGTGTTCGCGCGCCGGCTACGCGCTGGGGACTCGGTGCTGGCGCCAGGCGGGGACGCGCTTCGACCGGCGCGCGTGGCCCGCGTGGCGCGCGAGGAAGCCGTGGGCGTGTTCGCGCCGCTCACCGCGCACGGGACGCTGCTGGTCAACGATGTTCTGGCCTCATGCTACGCGGTTCTGGAGAGTCACCAGTGGGCGCACCGCGCTTTTGCTCCCTTGCGCCTGCTGCACGCGCTGGGGGCGCTGCTCCCTGGCGGGGCTGTCCAGCCGACTGGCATGCACTGGTACTCTCGGCTCCTCTACCGCTTGGCAGAGGAGCTGCTGGGCTGAGTGACCCAGGCACAGAAACCTCGAGGCGCCCAAGGAAACGGGGGCCTGCTGGGTGAGATGTGGGGGTGTGGGCAGCAGAGGAAGCCGATTGGGAGGGAAAGTGAGGGAGGGAGAGGGAGAAAATGGGGCTATGTGGAAACTGCCTGACTTAGGGGCAACCTCAAACTGAGAGGAGGTGATCCCGGGTCTGATCTGGTGCGCACTCCTTAAGGAGGACTATTTAGCCTCTTCTCCAGTGCCTCAGCCCCACCCGATAATTTTATTTCTTATTTATAAATTGTAATATAATGCTCTCCATGCCCAACCTCCCAAGGTGAGGGGCTGGGGCATGGCATTAACACTGTCTGACACAGCCAGCCAGTCTGACATCTGACATTTTCCTACAGGTGGGCTAATAAAGGGAAGGCTTTCAGGAGCTTAGCGGAAAACACCTCCATTCAGAGGGTGATTCACCTCTAGAGAGAGGGAGAAAGGCCACCAACCTGAGTTAACTGCTTACTTCCGGCTCTCCCTCCTTCCTCAGCAGGTTCTTTGGGACCTTATTCCTTCCTTCAGAGGGGGCATCCCAATCCGTCAGCAACAGAGCCCACAAGAGTCATGCCCTTTTCCAGGCTGCTGTTTCCATCTCCCACCCAAAGAGGACCACATTTTTTGCTCCTGAGGCTGCATAGGGACTGGAGGGGCCAGAGTTGTCCGGGGCGGGAAAGACTGTGAGCACCCCTTCTCTGTTTATAGGGGCTCCAGCAGAGGCTCAGGCCCCTATGAGTACTGATACTCAAAGCATCTAGTTCCCTGTTTTAGACGGTAGTCCTAGTCCCCATCCTACTCTGGTGGCAGAGTCTGGATGGGGTGGATGTTTTTTCTGAGATGCCACTGGGCCAACTGATGACCCATGGGAAACCTGGCTAATAATTTGCAGTCCTCACATACTCGTGGCCTGAAAAAAGAAGGGGGTTTCGGTAGGGGGCTGGAATATTTCCTTACCGAAGGGCTGCTCAGAGAGAGAGAATGTGTTCAGCCTCAATGTATGTGTGGTAATAAGGGCATATCAGCATTACAATCCGAGCTCCCCTCCTGACCGCTGGCCCTGGTGTTGTTTCTACTGGCTTGGTCTGCCCTCCTCCTCCCTCTTCCATTATCACCAGTTCTGCTTCCCTAGCCTGGGTGTCAAAAGATTCCAAAGCAGTAGACACCTGGAAACCAGGCAGGCAGGTGCCCCTGAGTTAGGAATGGAAGCTCTGGAGGAAGCTGGGCTGCTCCAGAAGGGAAGTGTCTTGGGAGGAGGTAAGGCGGGTAAGGGGAAATAGGGGTTGTTGGTATGCCCGGAGCTCGCCCTTGCCACCAGCAGCACTGCGCTCCCACCGCTCAGGGTCATTGCTATACACCGCCCTCTGGTGGCCTTCAAGAGAATTCTAGGCCTACGTATATGGTTCTCTAAGACGGAAAGTGGTCTCAGACATGGAAGGGTGTACTGGACCTGCGCAAAAGAGCCCGCTCCCAGGAGGGGAGAGATGATGGGTGGGCCTTGTTAAGCTGCCAGCGCTGAGCCACACATACCAGGAACTGTCAAGGAGTCCACCTGCTTCTCCTTGGGAAAGCCCTTCCAAACCATGGCACTTTTACATCCTTCCGGCCTACTTTAGCTCCGTGGCTCCTGGAAGCACAGATGTCCTAGTAGTATACCTGTAGTAGTCCAGACTTCCTTACATATCAAAGTTGCTGCCTCATGTCCCTCACCCTCACGACCTTTGAGTCCAGTTGTCAAGGAGGTGAAAGCATAATAGGGTTCCAGGTAGTGCTTGATAAAGGCAATATTTGGAAGCAGGCCAAGTTTACCCTTGGTGTCCTTCCAACCACCACTGCCCTCAACCCACACTGGGTGTCTGTTGCCACCTTTGCTTTTCTGTGTCTCAGAAGCACTTTCCAAGCTGTGGATCTTTCCTACTTTCTAAACCTGCCTTTGTCTCTTTTTATCAGATCTGATGCCTTCCTGTTGTGTCACCACGGGCAATGACTAATCCGATAAACAAATTAGCTTTCCTATGTTGATGGGCTCCTTGGTTTTACTGCCCTTCCCAGGTAATCAGGTAATACATGTATTTTTTAAAGAGACAGGATCTTGCCCTGTCACCCATGCTGGAGTGCAGTGGTGCGAACTTGGCTCCCAACCTCCTGGGCTCAAGTGATCCTCCCACCTCAGCCTCTGGAGTAGTTGAGAGGGACTACAGGTGCATGCCACTATGCCTGGCTAATGTTTGTATTTTTTGTAGAGACAGAGTCTTGCTGTGTTGCCCAGGCTGGTCTTGAACTCCTGAGCTCCTGCCTTTGCTCCCCAAATTGCTAGAATTACAGGTGTGAGCCACTGTGCCCAGCAGTAATACATATATCTTACAGTATTAACCTTTAACCATAAAATCATAATGATGATGGTTCCTAGCACCATAATATATGTTAGCCAGGAAGATATTTCAGGACAAGGAGAACTCATTGTTTTCCCTTAAACTACATCCTGTAAGTAACTTTCTAGGCTTGAGGCTTACCTCTTAACCCTCACATCCTCCCTTTATTATCTTTATTCCTTTGAGGTCCCTCTTGGCTCTCAAAAAAAAAAAAAAAAAAAAAGCCATTGCTTGCCTTCAGGCAGCAAAGCACACCATCTCTGTGCAGCAGGTGGGCATATTCACTTGGCCATGCAAACACCTCCCAGTTGGAGCATCATTTGCCATCAACAAAATAGGCAGTGAGGTTTCGCCTTAGAAGTCAGTTCCATCTGGGGATAATGATACCTCGCTGACAGGATGGTTGACAAGGATTGTGCTGGATATGGAATAGGCACTCAGTAAATGTTTTTTATTCATTGGCCATTTCTCACTGACTTTGCTTCCTTATCATTTCTTTCCTCACCACTCCACTAAAAGCATCAGCAGTGCAAACTTTCTGGGGTTGTGTCACAGGACTTCCTGAAGCTGGAGGCATAGTAGTAGCATGTCTGTAGTAGTCCAGATCAGATTTCCTTACATATCAAAGTTGCCTCTTCATGTCCCTCACCTTTTTTTTCTTTTTTCTTTTTTTTTTTTGAGACAGAGTCTCACTCTGTCACCAGGCTGCATGGCAGTGGTGTGATCTCAGCTCACTTCAACCTCCGCCTCCTGGGTTCAAGCAATTCTTTTGCCTCAGCCTCCTGAGTAGCTGGGAGTACAGGTGTGTGCCACCTCGCCCAGCTCATTTTTGCATTTTTAGTAGAGACAAAGTTTCATCATGTTGGCCAGGCGTGAGCCACTGCACCCGGCTGTCCCTTACCTTTGTGACCCTTGAGCTCAGTAGTCAAGAAGGTGAAAGTATAATGGGGTTCCAGTTACTGCCTGAGACTTCTTTTCTGAAGAAGTATGGTTAAAAATGATCTTGTTTTGAGAATTTATGAAGCATTTTGTGATCATCCTGGCAATACCTCTCTGCATACTAAGAAATCAGAGTTGAGAACCACTGCCTAAAAGGTTCAGGTGACTTGTTTATCTGCCCATAATCCAGTCTTTTATTCCTTCTTTCCTTTCTTCAAGCAGGATTTACTGAACATATGCAGTGTAGCCCCGTATTCCAAACTAAAAAACACAAAAGGTTAAGAAACAGCTTCTTCCCTGGAGAAGTAGACATAAACCCAGAAAATATTTAACATTGTTACTTAATTGGGATGAGATGAACTGGTGGTAAATGCCATATTAGTATAGAGAAGGACTTGGCCGGGTGCGGTGGCTCAAGCCTGTAATCCCAGCACTTTGGGAGGCCGAGGCGGGTGGATCACGAGGTCAAGAGATCGAGACCATCCTGGTCAACATGGTGAAACCTCGTCTCTACTAAAAAAAAAAAAATACAAAAAATTAGCTGGGCATGGTGGTGTGTGCCTGTAATCCCAGCTACTCAGGAGGCTGAGGCAGGAGAATTGCCTGAACCCAGGAGGCGGAGGTTGCGGTGAGCCGAGATCGCGCCATTGCACTCTAGCCTGGGTAACATGAGTGAAACTCCGTCTCAAAAAAAAAAAAAAAAAAAAAAAGAGAAGGCCTTGTGGAGAAAGGGGGGCCTGACTAGGATGCTGAAGCATGTGTAGGCAGAAGAGGCTGGAAACGGCATTCCAGGCAGAAGGAACATCATGAGCAAGGACTCGGAATCTGAGATGAAGATGTGCAACTTATTTGGAGCAAAAGCCTGGGAGTGTAACAATATGTAGCTAACGGTTACTGAGAATTTAAGATATGCTAGGCCCTGCTCTGATATTTTACCTGCATTGTCTTCTTCCTGTTTTTTTGAGACAGAGATTCACTCTTGTTGCCCAGGCTGGTAACATGCATAGTCACCACAGCCAGTAAGTGGCAAAATGAAGCAGAAGTAACACGAACTAAGACTTGGGCCAGGTGCGGTGGCTCATGCCTGTAATCCCAGCACTTCGGGAGGCCATGGTGGACAGATCACTTGAGGTCAGGAGTTCGAGACCAGCCTGGCCAACATGGCAAAACTCTGTCTCTACTAAAAATACAAAATCAGCCAGGCATGGTGGTGGGCGCCTGTAATCCCAGCTACACTGGAGGCTGAGGCAGAAGAGTCACTTGAACCTGGGTGGCAGAGGTTGCAGTGAGCTGAGATTGAGCCACTGTACTCCAGCCTGGGTAACGAAATGAGACTCTGTCTCAGAAAAAGAAAAAAGAAAAAGAAAAAAATCAGACTGGACAACATAGTGAGATCTGGTCTCTACAAAAAATAATTTAAAAAATTAGCCAGGTGTGGTGGTGCATGCCTGTAGTCCCAGCTATCTGGGGGGCTGAGATGGGAGGATCATATCAGCCCAGGAATTCGAAGTTGCAGTGAACTATGATCACACCACTGCACTCCAGCCTGGGTGACAGAGCAACAGCTCAAAATAAATAAACAAATAAATACACAAAAAATAAGACCACCTTGATGAAAGAGGCCACATTTTGTTGGACCTTAAGCTATTTTTTGCTTTTACTCCTTCCCTTCACTGAATCACTGTAAAGTTCTCCCAGCTTTCTGACAGTTATTTCTCTCTCATTTTCATTGGCTCCCTAACCGAAGCTATCTAGCCATCCAGTTAAGGAAATACGTATATCGATATAGCTTTCTGGCAGGAATCTGTGGCAGGCTGGTATGCCAACACAGAAAGCATAAGAAGACGCTTAACTCTTTTTGGACTAGAGAAGGAGAGGGAAGTTTGAACTTTCTTGTGGACTGAATGTTTGTGTCTCCTCCCCGCAGCTCAAATTCATATATTGAAGCCTTAACCCCTACTTTGTCTGTATTTGAAGATGGGGAATCTAAGGAAGTAATTAAGGTGTTTGTTTTGTTTTTTGAGATGGAGTCTCGCTCTGTTGCCAGGCTGGAGTGAGTGGCACAGTCTCAGCTCACTGCAACCTCGGCCTCCCGGGTTCAAGGGATTCCCCTGCCTTGGCCTCCTGAATAGCTAGGACTACAGGTACATGCCACCACACCTGGCTAATTTTTTGTACTTTAGTAGAGACGGGGTTTCACCATGTTGGCCAGGATGGTCTCAATCTCCTGACCTCGAGATCCTCCTGCCTCGGCCTCCCAAAGTGCTGGGATTACAGGCATGAGCCACCGAGCCTGGTTAGAAGTAATTAAGGCTAAATGAGGTCATAGGGTTAGGGCCCTAATCCTATAGGATTAGTGCCCTTATAAGAAGACACACCAGGCCAAGCATGGTGGCTCACGCCAGTAATCCCAGCACTTTGGGAGGCCGAGGAGGGCAGAACACAAAGTCAGGAGTTGGAGACCAGCCTGGCCAACATAATGAAACCCCATCTCTACTAAAACACAAAAATTAGCCGGGTGTGGTGGCACACACCTGTAGTCTCAGCTACTGAGGCAGGAGAATCACTTGACCCTGGGAGCATGAACATGGGAGGTAGAGGTTGCAGTGAGCCGAGACCACACCATTGCACATCAGCCTGGGTGACAAAGTGAGATTCTGTCTCAAAAAAAAGAAAAAAAGACAGCAGAGTGCTTGGGTACTCCCCCTACCACATGCGCTGAGGAAAGGCCAGATGAGGACATAGTGAGAAGGTGGCTGTCTACAAGACAGGAAGAGAGCCCTACCCGAAAGGCACATCAGCTAGAACATTGATCTTGGACTTATAACCTCCAGAACTGTGAGAAAATAAATTTCTGTTATTTAAGCCACCCAATCTGTGGTATTTTGTTACGGCAACTCTAGCAAACTCGTTCAAGCTTCCAGAAATATTTGGAGTAGAAAGAGGCCATTGCTGAGACAGGGTCCCTACTTAGTGAAAGTCATCAGCTGTCCTTGCAAAATGAGCATTTTTTTTCTTTGAGACGGAGTTTCACTCTTGTTACCCAGGCTGGAGTGCAGTGGCGTGATCTCAGCCCACTTTAACCTCCACCTCCTGGGTTCAAGTGATTCTCCTACCTCAGCCTCCCAAGTAGCTGGGATTACAGGCATGTGCCACCATGCCCAGCTAATTTTTGTATTTTTAGTAGAGATGGGGTTTCACCATGTTAGCCGGGCTGGCCTCGAATTCTTGACCTCACATGATCTGCCCACCTCGTCTTCCGAAAGTGTTGGGATTAAAAGCATGAGCCACTGCACCTGGCCAAAAAATGAGTATTTCTGACTTAGAAACTTCACATGGTTATTTAATTTAATTTAATTCAGTTAATGTATTTATTTGTTTTTGAGATGGAGTCTCACTCTGTCGCCCAGGCTGGAGTGTAGTGGCGAGGTCTAGGCTCACTGCAACTTCAGCCTCCTGGGTTCAAGTGATTCTCCCGCCTCAGCCTCTCTAGTAGTATCTGGGATTAAAGGCTCCTGCCATCACGCCCAGCTAATTTTTTTTTTTTTTTTTTTTTTTTTTTTTTGTATTTTTAGTAGAGACTGGGTTTCACCATGTTGGCCAGGTTGGTTTTGAACTCCTGACCTCAAGTAATCTGCCCACCTCAGCCTTCCAAAGTGTTGGGATTACAGGTATGAGCCACCTCACCTGGACTTTTTTTTTTTTTAAA